AAAGGTAGGTTGATTTCAAAGAGTCAGCATATATGATACTGGGCAACACAGCAGACTTATGAGGAAACTTGTAAGTCAAATTATAAAAGAGATTATAATTAGTAGCAATGTGGATAAAAAAATTACAGTAATAGGAAAGAATAATAATGAATGGTAGTTTTGAGCTAGAAGGTTTACAGTGGAGGTCCCCAGGGGTTAGTACTGGGACACTTGCTTTACCTGATATATATTAATGATCTGAATCTAGGTGTGTAGGGGGCACTAAACTTGAAAGAATTGTAAACTGTGAGGACAGTGTGGAACTCCAAAAATATATTTTAAATTTGGAGGAGAGTGCGGATTGGTGGCAGATGAGATTCGATGTGGAGAAGTGTGAGGTGATGCACTTTAGTAGGAGAGCATTTAAAGACAATATAAAGTAGGGAGCACAACTCTAAAAGGGGTACAGGAGCAGAGGGACTTGCATGTATATATACTTAGATCAGTAAAGATGGCAGGACTGGAGAAGAGCAGTTTACAAAGCATACAGTGTTCTTGGCTTTATTAATAAGGGGCAGCATGGTGGCTCAGTGGTTAGCACTGCTGCCACACAGCACCAAGAACCTGGGTTCAAATCCAGCGTGGGGCGACTGTCTTTGTGGAGTTTGAACATTCTCCCTGTGTCTGTATGGGTTTCCTCTGGGTGCTCCGGTTACCTCCCAGAGTCCAAAGATGTGCAGTTTAGGTGGATTGGCCATGGGAACTGCATGGATAGGGCAGGGGGGGTAAATCTGGGTGGGATGCTCTTCAGTGTGGACTTGTTGGGTTGAATGGCCTGTTTCTACACTGTAGGGATTCTATGATAACTCTATGGCTTAGAGCAGAAGATGATGCTGAAGTTACATAAACATTTTTGTTAGACCTCAGCTGGAGAATCATGTGCAAATATGAGTGTCAAATTATAAGAAAGATTAGAGAGAGCACAGAAGCAATTTACAAGAATGGTTCCAGGAATAAGAAATTTCAGTTATGAGGTTAGGTTGAAGAAGTAGGGAATGTTCTCTTCGGACAGAAGGAGGCTAAAAGGAGATTTGATAGAGGTTTTCAAAATCATAAACAGGCTGGATAGAATAGAGAGGGAGAAGCTGTTCCCACTCGAAAAGGAAAAAGAACAAGATTTGTATTGTTTAAACTGATGTGCAAACATAATAACGGTGAGAAAAAGCTTCTTCACACGGAGTAGTTATAATATGGAATGCATTGTCTGGAAATATAATGGAAGTAGGTTCAATTGAAGCATTCTAGAGGGCATTGAATGATAATTTAGAACAAAATGATGTGCAGGGATATGGAGAAAAGGCATGAGGGAATAGAACTAGTGCAGGTATGATGGACCAAATGGCCTCCTTCTGCATCATAACAATTCTCTGATTCTGTGAAAATTAATGCAGTAGCCAGATATAGTAAACAAGACAAGATATTCATTTTTAATGTTGTAGAAATGTGCTTTACAACCAAGCAAACATTGTGTGTTGTATCTTTGTTCAGGCAACTGGGTGTAGAAAACTGAAGACTGACAGAGCCCTTTAAGAAAACAAAGGTAGCAGGAGTGAACTCAGACAAGGAATTACGAGGACTAAAAGGGGCCATGAAATGTCTTTAGCAAATATTATATTCAGATTAAGGAAAATCCCAAGATGTTTTATACTATATAAGCAAGAGGTTAACTAGGGTCAGGGCAATTTATGCATGGAGATGGAGGAAATAAGTGAAATCCTTAATGAATACTTTGCACTGGTATTCACAAAGGAGAAGTTCCTGGTGGATGGTGGGTCTTGAGAGGGGTATATTGATATTCTAGGGCATGTCAATATAAAAAAGGTGGTGGTGTTGGGTCATTTGAAAAGCATTAAGGTAGACAAGACAGCAGGACCTGATGGGATCTGTTATGATTTGATGTTGGGGTGCCGCCCCTTTAAGAGAGCTGATCAGGTGATTCGCACGGCATACAGCCAGGTGCTCAGTCTAGTACTGGCTGTGGAGGTGTAAGTATCAAAAGTTAAAGTATTCCTGTTCACAGTTTCCTTGAGCCTACCTGGTCTGTAATTCCTGTTTGGAGAAAGCAATGAAAATAACAGGATCTATGCCAGAATGTTCAGGGAGGCAGGTGAGGAAATTGTTCAGGCCTTGTGTGAAATCTTTGAATCCTCTTCAATCACAGGAGAGGTTCCAGAGGACTGGAGAATAGCCAACATTGTTCTTTTGTTTAAGAAGGGTAGTATACATCAGTTGTAGGAAAATTATTGGAGAAGATTCTTAGGAACAGGAGTTACTCATATTTTGAAACAAGTGGACTTATTAGCGATAGGTAGCATGGTTTTGTGCGAGGAAGGTCATGTCTCACAAACTTGACTGAGTTTTTTGAGGAAGTGACAAAGATAATTGATGAGACCGGAGCAGTAGATGTTATTTATAAGGACTTTAATAAAGCCTCTGACAAGGTCCCTCATGGCAAGCTGATACAAAAGGTAAAGTCAAATGGGATCGGTGGAGAGCTGGTAAGATGGAGACAGAATTGGCTTAGTCACAGAAGACAGAGAGTAATGGTGGAAGGTGTTATTCTGAGGAGATATATGACTAGTGGTGTACTGCAGGGATCAGTGCTGGAGCCCTTGTTATTTGTAGTATATAAAAATGATTTGGAGAAGAATGTAACTGGCCTGAGTAGTAAGTTTGCTGCTGACACAAAGATCTGGGGACCTGCGGATAGTGAGGAGGTTTGTCAAAGGATACAGCAAGATATAAATAGGCTGGAGACTTGGGCAGAGAGATGGCAAATGGAGATTAATCTGGACAACTGCAAGGTGATGCATTTTGGAAGATCTAATAAGGAGGGAAGTATCCAGAAAATGGCAGAACTCTAAGTAGCATCAACATACAGAGGGATCTAGGCATAGATGTCCAAAGTTCCCTGAAAGTGGTTACACAAGTGGAGAAGATGGTCAAAAAGGTATATGGCATGTTTTCCTTCATTAGTTGGGGTATAGAGTATGAAAATTGGCAAGTCATATTGCAGCTGTATAGAACTTTAGTCAAGTCATATTTGGTAAATTGTATATAGTTCTGGTCACCATACTACCAGAGGCATATTGAGGCTTTGGAAAAGGTACCAAAATAGTTGACCAGGATGTTTTCTGGTTGGAGGATATTAGCTTTGAGGAGAGATTGGACATTGGTTTGTTTTCACTTGAACATCAAAACATGAGGAGCAACTGTTAGACGTTTACAAAATTAGGAGAGGAGTGGATAGAATGGATGGTTGGAATCTTTTTCCCGGGGAAGAAATGTCAATTACTAGGGGACGTAGGTTTAAGGCACAAGGGGATAAGTTCAAAGGAGATGCAAGAAGTATGTTTTCACAGTGAAAGTGCTAAATGTCTGGAATGCGCTGCCAGAGGAGGTGGTGAAGGTTGCAAGTGGATGCAACATTTAAGAGGTATCTTGACAGACAGCCTTAATCATCTGGATTACTTCCATATGTCCTCTAGTTCTCAGAGGACTCTTCCCTTACGTGCCTTCACAAAAGACTACAACTTAAATTAGGACCCAATGCATCTCAATCCAGAAACACTTGAACTGTTGTCACACTGTGCTGCTCAGCAAAGGAGATTATATTCCATCATTGTCCAGACTTTCCAATAGTGGAAATTTTGTGGTGAGGAAGCAGGAGATGGTAAACTGAGGTCAAATTCTAGGCGTGTCATGATAGGGTTGGGGAGGTGTAAATGTAGGGCAGAGAGGGACATTTGTTGTGTGTGAGTGCTGCATGCGTGTCTTGTGTGTGTGGTAAGCATGGGGTTAAGGGTTACACTGTTTTTCATAGTCTACCATTCCTCAGTAATTATTTACTTGATTTCATCAGAACAATCTGAATCCTGTAGTTTAAATGGAGACTTTCAGACGGTTCAATGTAGAGGAATTGAACAGTGGAATCTTCAACTTTGCAGGAAATTCCTTTGCAGGGTGTCCATGCACAACTCATACTGCCACTGAAATATGACTGTCTGGCCATCAAAAGATCCAAGCCCATTTTGTGTGACACCAACACAATCTCAGCATTATCTGTGCCAACACGACAAAAGCTATGAAAGCAGACTCTTAATCTTTTAATAATTGTCACTTACTTTCTTATTAACAAACCTTCAGAATGGTTTAAGTATTGCCCCAGTACAGCCAGTTTTGACTACTAGCTGGTTTTTGGGGATTGTACAGCAACAAAATAAAACTTTTACTCTATAGTGACCAAAATAAATGACAGATGGCAGTTATATGCTAATGTGATTAGCCCCTACAAGTATAAATGGTGTGTCATCACTCACAGACACTGAATGGCAACAGGAAGAATGGGGGTGCAATAGTCTAAATGCTACTGCTAACAACAGTTAACATGGAATAAGGCCAATTGATGACTTGTCAGGATTTAATCCAAAGAACTTTCATAGTTCCTGAATTATTGACTGAAGAATCGGGAGTGGGTAAGTTGCTTGAAATGCAGGAAGGCCAGAATTTGAACCAGTTATTGCCAAATAAACCTTAGACTGGAATTCTAGTTCATAGTGAGTGATTGTTAACAATGAAAGGAGAATAGCTTGAAACAGACACAGAAAGATCCAATTAAAATGCATATATAAATGAGGTGCAAATATCTAACTGAGTTGCCTAATTCTTTTTAAGTGCCATCCTTAAAACAACTCCTATGTGACTGGAAAATAGTGGCATTTGCCCAGTGTATAAGTCAACTTGTGCTAACTGTGGACCATGCTGGAGGTGGAGATTGTAACATTTTACTGCTGAGATTCACTATTACTTTGTAATTCAGATTGAATTCTCTTGGAGTAGTAAACTTATAACAGATCTAAATTGAGAATGATTTCTATTGTCTGCTATATGTCTTTAAATGCACACTTATAAATTCTTTCAATATTGATTGTTGATTTCATTCTCTTGGACACTCCACCTACCTGAGCCAATTCATTGCTGTCAACATACCCATCCTCATTTGAATCAAAATATTCAAACATGTTATCCACCAACACCTTTTTGAGAGACATTTTGTCTTCATTCTCTTTGTTATTTCTTTGTCGGATGTAGTTTTGGTTCTGGAGATCTAGAAGCATGTTTTTCAGTTTGCTGTATTCAGTCAATTTACACTTGTCCCCTAGAAGGAAAAAACACTGATGTTTAGGAAATGTTCACTTCCAAAGACTGCTACAATATCAGAATAAAAATGCAGCTAGAGGTTATGCTGACAATCAAGGTGATTTTTTATGACAAAAAAGATTAGTATGTGACACTATTACATTAACCACCTAATCGATGGGGCGGGACGGCACGGTGGCACAGTGATTAGCACTGCTGCCTCACAGTGCCAGGGACCTGGGTTTGATTCCACGCTCAGGCGACTGTCTGTGTGGAGTTTGCACATTCTCCCTGTGTCTGCGTGGGTTTCCTCCCACAGTCCAAAGATGTGCAGGCTACATGGATTGGCCATGCTAAATTGCCCATAGTGTTCAGGGATGTGTAGGTTAGGTAGGTTTACAGGGGGAAGGATTTGGGTGGGATCCTCTGAGGGTCAGTGTGGACTTGTTGGGCTGAGGGGCCTGTTTCCACTCTATAGGGATTCTATGAAGAATAATGCCCACAAGAACTTGATGGAAAAGCAGGTAAAAACAAAACACGGCTGGAATACTCAGCAGGTCAGGTAGAATGTATGGACAGAAACAGAGTTAATGTTTCCGATCAAGATGGTTTTTTGTCACAAGTGAATTTATTGGAAGTAGTGCATTATGCAAGTATACAATCAGTGAATGACTAGAGCAACATCCTAAATGGTTAAACATATTTAATGTAATTCAATGTTCCTTGGTACTTCGTAGGAGCACAATGGGATAGTGGATAGTACTATGTTCCCTCACCAGTAGCAGGTTTGATTGGTGGGGTGGGCTGGCTTTTAATTAAGCAGAACTGGCATCCTCCCAACACCACCCTGAGTAAGTCTGTTGGGAAGGTTCCATGGGCAGTCTACCCGTCCCACCTCCGACTATGGCACATAAATGGCTAATTATTGACCACTTAAAGATAATTGTCCCACCATTGCTGGCCTTACCCAGCACCAGTCAGGGGCTCAACATATATGTATGTTCGCTTGCTGTCTCCGGGGGAAACCTTATCATCTGAAGGGAACAAAAAGGCAGATGATTTGGCAATGCAAAGCTATTAATCAATCAGAATGGAAACCCCCAATAGATAGAGTGGATGTACATAAAGAAAAACCCATAAAGGTAACAGATTTGGTTGAAGAACAAAGAAAGGATGAGGAACTGAAGGAATTTATCGGCAAAGAAAAATCAGAGATATATGAAGTGGTAAATAGGATTAGTGTCGAGGATAGAATTGTGCTGTGTGAAGGGAAGTTTGTGGTACTTGAGGGGGGAAGGAATCAAATGATTCACTGGTACCATGACTTGTGCGTCATAGTCATAGAGTAATACAGAATGGAAACCGGCTCTTCCACCCAAACTGATCCATGCTGACCAAGGTGCCCACTCAGCTAGTTCCAATTGCCTGCATTTGGTCCATATCCCTCTAAACCCTTCCCATCTGTGTACCTATCCAAATGTATTTTAAATGTTGCTATTTTACCTGCCTCAACCACTTTCTCTGGCAGCCCATTACATATACGCAACACTGTCTGCATGAAGAAGTTGCCCCTCAGGTCCTTCTTAAATCTTTCCCCTCTCACCTTAAACCTATGCCCTCTAATTTTCAATTCCCCATTCCCGGGAAAAAGCCTATATGCATTCATCCTATCTATGCCCCTCATGATTTTATACACATCAATACAGTCATCCCTCATCCTCCTACGTTCCGATGAATAAAGTCCTATCCTGGCTAACTTCTCCCTATAACTCAGGCCTACTAGTTCTGGCAACATCCTCGTAAATATTCTTGCACACTTTCCAGTTTAGCTATGTCTTTCCGATAACAAGGTGACCAAAACTGTACACAATACTCCAAGTGCTGCCTCACCAATGACTTATACAACTGCAACATAACATCCCAATGCCTTGACCTGTGAGGGCCAGCATGCTAAATGCCTTCTTCACCACCCTGTCCACCTGTGATGCTGTTTTCAACGAACTACGTACTTGTACTTCTAGGTCCCTCTGTTCCACAACACTCCTCAGGACTTTACCATTGACTTTCCAAAGTGCAACTCCTCACACTTACCTGTATTGAATTGCATTTGCCAATCCTCAGCCCACTTCCCCATCTGATTGAGATCTCTCTGTAATTTTTGATAGCCTTCCTTGCTATTAACGATACCTCCCAATTTTGTATCATCTGCAAAATTACTACTCATGCCTTTTACATTCACGTCCAGATCACGTATGTAAATAACAAATAACAAAGGTCCTGGGACTGACCCCTGTGGTACACCACTAGTCAAAGGCCCCCAGTCTGAGAAACAACCTTCAACCATCACCCTCTGCTTCCTACCATTGAGTCAATTTTGAATCCAATTAGCTAGCTCTTCCTGGATCCCATGCAACCTAAACTTCATGACTAGACTGCCATGCGGGACCTTGTCAAAGGCCTTACTAAAGTCCATGTCGACAACATCCACTGCCTTACCGAAAGTACCGTGGATGCTGTGAATCAGGAACAAAAGGGTCACAGGAAGGGTTACCAGACCCGAAACATTTACTCTGTTTTTTCCCTTCACAGATGCTGCCAGACCTGCTGAGCTTTTCCAGCAACTTTGTTTTTGTCCACTGCCCTACTCTCATCTATCCTTTTGGTTACCTTTTTGAAAAATTCTAAAAGGTTTGTCAGACATGACTTCCCGCACCCTAATCAGAACTTGACTAACCAAATGTTGGTTGATCCTGTCCCTCAGTATGCCCTCCAATAACTTACCTCCCACTGATGTCAGGCTCACTGACCTATAGTTCCCTGGCTTGTCTTTTCTACCAGACTGGAGGGTGGCTAATGTTCTTCCAGAACTTCACTAGTGGCTATAGATGAAGCAAAAGTCTCTACAAGGGCTTCTGCAATTTCTTCCCAAGCCTCCCACAATGTCAGAGGATGGACTTCATCAGGCCCAGGGGATTTATCCCCCTTAATGTGATCTAAGGCTGCAAACACCTCGTCTCTGGTAATACGTATGTATTGTATTGGTTGGCAATTTTAATTTCCCCTGTATTGACTGGCCGCCCAGTGTGTTAAAGGCCCAGATGGGGTGGTATTTGTCAAATGTGCCCAAGAAAGTTTCGTATGTCACCATGTAAATGGCCCTACTCGGGAGGGTGCAACACTGGATTAGGGAACAAGGTTGGGCAAGTGACTGATGTGTCAGTTGGTGAGCACTTTGGGTCTAGTGACCATAAATCTCTTAGTTTTAACATAGTTATGGAGAAAGATAGGACAGGTCCACAGGATAACGTGCTAAACTTGAGCCAGGCCAATTTTGGGGCCAATAGGCAGGATCTAGCAGCAGTCGATTAGGTGAGTCTGTTTGAAGGAAAAAGGAATGACTAGCAAAGGGGAAGATTTTAAAAGTGTGATATCAAGAGTCAAGAGACAGTAATTCCCTGTTAGGGTGAAGGGAAAAGTTGGCAGGTTTAGAGATCCCTGGCTGATAAGGGATATTGAGGCTCTGGTCAGGAAAAAGAAGAAGGCATACATTGGGTTTAAGCTATCAGGCTCAAGTGAATCCCTAGATAACTATAAAAAGTGTAGGAGAATACTTAAAAAGGAAATCAGAAGAGCAAAAAGAGGATATGAGATGGATCTGGCAGGTAAGATTAAAGATAATCCCAAGAGGTTCCATAGCTTTATTAAGAGTAAATGGGTGGCTAGGAAAAGAATAGGTTCCCTTAATGATCAGCATGGCCACCCATGTGTGGAGCCACAAGAGATGGGGGAGATTTTTAATGAATATTTCTCCTCAGTGAGAGGAGAGAATCATTGATGCTAAAGAAATAAGGAAACAAGTGGGGATGTTTTGGACCACATACATAATACCAGCAAGGAATGGGCGACACCCTCAAAAAAAAGGAGGTATGTTGAAGGCCAAAAATGATAGAGGTGTGGAACATTATGTGAAAAATGGTCTAATATGTGCCCTATATAATCCTGATTAAAATGCATTAAAAGGGACTAGACCCGTCAAGGGGCCATGAACAAATCTGCAGATTGATTTTATGGGGCCTCTACCTTCCACCTCAAGTGGCTACAAATACATATTGATTATAGTGGATACATTTACCAAGCAGTGCGATGTGTTCCCAACCTGAGCCAACACTGTCAAAGCAACTGCCAAAGTGCTGTTGGAACAAGTATTTACTTGGTGGGGATTACTATGCAGCATAGAGTCCAACAAGGAAACCAATTTCACCATCCAAGTAATGCAAAATGTTTTGACCCAGTTGGGAATAAACCTGAGATTCCTTATCAATCTCAGTCCAGTGGGATAGTAGAACCAATGAATAAAACATTGAGAACCATGATGGGAAAAATTGGCAAGCAACACAAAACCACGTAGCAAACTATGTTGCCATATGTACTAATGTACTATATGTACTGTGTGAAGCACAGTATCATCCTCGACAGGTTACACCCCATACAAATTGATGTCTGGAAGAGATATGAGAGGGATGGTAGAGTTGTTGGGGCTTGATGTAACAGAACCTGAGGTTGATGGAATTGTATCAGAGAAATGGGTGCGATAATTAATCAAAACCGTCAAAGAGGCAAATTATATGGCCGCAAGTCAAATGGGAACAAAGAAACAACAAAAGTAAAGCTTACTTTGATGCTAAAACTAACTCAACTGAACATAATGTAGGAGACAAAGTACTCATTCAAGTAAAACAACATACCTCCTTTCTGAGTCCTCGATTTGCAGGTCCTAATAAGGTAAAAGATAAAGCCACCTCACTGCACCCAGAAAAACGGGATGGTATGATGTTAATCAGTTAAAATTAATGGGAGAAAAACAAGCAGATCACTCCCACCATCTTATGATTGATGCCTTGGAATCTGAACCCAAACCACTGCCACCTCAACAACTGCAGCAGCTACCACAATATATTGTGGAGGCTGCAGGGGGTATGCTAATCCAAATGATAGGTGGGGTCCCTAGATCAGAAACTA